CATATACATATATATATATACATATATATATATATAGACCTTCAATATTTTACACGGGCTCTTCCCAACACGGTTTTATCCATTTCTCTCGGCTCTGTGAACGCGTGCAGCGTTGTTGGCCGAGCAGCTTTGTTCAAGCTGCTAGGAAATATTAAAACGGGAACGCGGCGAGAAGAGAGAAAAAAGTGAAAAATTCGATCCCGGAGGAAGCGGTGAATTTGTCACATTTTTTCCCATCCTTGAGAGAAATTCGTGCGTTCTCTTTCTTCTCTCTCGCCTGCGATCCGCTCGAATAAACCACGTTTCTTCTAAATATTCACTCTCCGTTCTCTCTCTCTCTCTTACACACACACACACACACACACACTCTCTCTCTTTCCGTTCTAACAACTGCGACTATACACACAGATTTGGCCAATCTTGATCTGCGCGCGAGACGAAGATTGCGCACAATAAGAAGCGTGCATCGAATGTACAAAAAAAAAGGTCGGCGGAGCGAATCGTATACAAAATCGCTCGTTACCGGGCATCATCGAGTTTCCGTGAACGTTCACAATTATATATATATATAATTTTTTTTTGTATACGTATAAAGACAAGATGAGAAAGATCAAATTAAACTAAATCGATGAATTTATTTATTAATTAATCATTACGATAAATAACCAACAATTCTATGTTCAAGCCGTGCGATTTTAAAACTCCGTAATATATAGTATATATCATCGAAATAATCTCTTTTGTTCATATTTTGCTGTTTTTTTTTCGTTTTTTTTATGTTTGTTTCTTTCTTTCTTTTCTTTCGTCTCTAGGCTCTCTCTCTTTTCCTTTTCTTTTTTACAGCTAGATTCGGAAACTTCTCCCCTCCATTTTGTCCTTCGAGTGTGTTATACCGCGCGCGCGCGTGCGTGCGTGTTTTTTCTTTTTTCTATCGGCCTGAAAATTCGAAAGAAGCGCTGCATTATGATTAGGAGTTGTACCGTTCGCATCCCCTAAACAACTTAACGACTGCCGCGCCGCTGCTCCCCCCACCCTGACGCATCGCGCGGTCAGGCATTCACGACGGTTGGACGCGAACGACGACGACGAAGTAAGGCAAACATCAAGCCAGCTGTACCGCGTTGCGCGCCGGCACATTAAATAATTTACGTCTACGACTTGAATTACAACGTTCTCTCGAGTTCAATCACCGAGTTAATTTGTACAGTTTGCACGCCCCGCTCTCCCCCCAACGAGCTTCACACCTTTTCCTTTCGCTTTTATTTTCTTTTCTCGGCGGCACGTAACCTTTTTATATGAACAGCTCGCCTGATGTTCCGCACGGTTCATTCAGCGATATTTCTAAAACGTTCAACAAATCAATGACGCGTTTAACGCGTATAAGAAATAAGGCCGGGGTGGGGGGGTGAACAATGCCAGAAAAATGAGGAAAAAAAAGTAAATGTCTATGATCGTTGAGCAGCTTAATAAACTCCGGATCGTTCGGATGTGTCTAAGAAAAAAAAAAAGAAAAGAAAAACGTAACGGAAAAAGAAGATTTTCTCGGTGCGCGAGGATCGTGTTGTCGAACCGTATAAAAAAAGGAAAACAGAAAAAAGAAAAAAGAAAACAACAGAAAGTACACATTCATTCCCCCCAAAATTGGCTGGGAGGATAAAGAAGTAACTTCACGTGGTGGTTTCTTCTAGTAATGAGGCGCATTACTAAAAAAGAAAATGGTTAATTGTTTAAAACTTAAGTTATATATCGTCAACATTCGTAAAACTCTAAAACGAATACCAAGAGCTCTCCCCCCACTCTTTTCGTTTCCTCTTTCTTTCTTTCTTTCCTTGTCTCCACTCACTCGTCACGCTTCTTTCTTTCACTCCCTCTCCCTTCTCCTCGCTATCTATATCGTTTTCTTTTTCTTTGTCTCCTTCGTCTCCCGTGTCGCTGTATCGTTTCCTTTTTCTCCCTCTTTCTCTCTTTCTCTAGTTAACGCACGGTCGGTCGACTTTCACGAGAAAAGGAATTGAATCGATACTAGACATCTTCTTCTCGCCGGCAGTCATATCGTTCTATATCTCTTTCGCGACGCAATGATATGTAGATGTGTGTATACGGGGTGGCTCTAGTCACACGTATCTCGAAGCTCTCCAGCTGTACAGGGTGGTCGTCGTCGTTACGCAAAACATTGTACAAGTTCGTTGGTACAGATTTCTTTGTATTATTATACAGCGCATGGAACGTTCGAAGCGAGTCTGAATATTCAGCTCGCACTACTGATGATAGAACAGTGAAACATATTTTATAATACTTGCTTGGATTCGAGAGCTAGGTATACAGGGTGTCTGCAAAATGTCTCGTAATTCGGAAATAGAAGGTTCCTGAGATCATTCGAAGCAACTTTCTCCTTAGCGAAAATGCAAACCGCAGCTTCGTTTACGAGTTATCGACGAAAATCGGTGACCAATGAGAGGCGAGATCTGCTGGCGCGCGACGGCCGAGAACCAATGAGCGGAGTTGGGCTTCGCGCGCTCGTTGGCTCGGCCGTCTCGCGTCAGCAGAGCTCGCTTCTTATTGGTCGGCGTTCTTCGTTAATAACTCGTGAACGAAGCGGCGGTTTGCATTTTCGCCAAGGAGAAAGTTACTTCGAATAACCTAAGGAATCCACCAGGATTGCGAGACATTTTTCGGACACCCTGTATAATCTGGTGTCTCTGATATTTTTATGAACAGATGCGTAATTGAGATTTCAAGGTCGATCCTGCTTTACTTGGAAATGCAATGATATATTCGTGTTATTTATATCGTGACAGTATGTTTCAAATCGAAGGCAATTATTTACTATTAAGAATAGATTATTTAAGATATCATATATATATTTTTATCGCAAATTCTTTTAAACGGCTCTTCGAATACTTCTATATTTTCGTTGATCATTGATCTTGTAGTTACAAATGGATAAAATGTAGTTACAAATATGAAATTATTGAATAAATAAAATTACTGTCTCACTCGAAGAAATCAGAATTGACCTTCACAGCTTGTCCTGTACCTCCATTTATAAAAAGATGTCGACGACGTTAGATCATTGGTGCCTCGAAATCAAGCAAGTTTTCTTCTATCAACAGCAAGCGACTTGCTGGGTGACCTGTTTCGAAGGCTCCGGAGCCTGTATGCTATTGTGTTCCAATTTCGAGGGATCCACGTTTCTCCACGACAAACTTCGCGTGGTTCATTGGCTCTGTATTACAGTTTTCTCTTCTTACACCTTCGGACAAATTCTTTGTTTGTTTTTTCAGAACGAACAACAAATGAACCGGTAAGATTAGAAATAAGAAAAGAACACCGCGGACAGGGTGGATTCGTCGGAACTGAAAATCATGCCGTACGACTGTGTGACCATTTAGATAATAGCGTTTCACTTGCGAGATCGTTGGTGTTCGCTAAGACAATCGGAACAGCGTGATCCGGGGTTGAGATCGGCGGCGAGGCGGATCATCGAGGCGTGACTTGGATAGGCACGGGTTTACAGATGTTTCTTCGGGTGTGTTCGATCGTATCTCGGTAGCTTCTCCCCTCGGCTCGTTAAACTTTAATCCCCTAGACTCTTTCTCTCTCTTTCGCCCTCTCTCTCTCTCTCTTTCTCTTCCGCCCTCTCTCTCTCTCTCTCTCTCTCTCTCACTCTCTCGTCGTGCCGATGCAGGCAGCAGCATGCTCTTTCGCAACGCGAGACGTGTCTTACGATAAATAGAGATTGTGCACGCAAAAATGTGTGTCCCCGTGTGTGTACAATGTGTATATGCAGGTGATCAGCCGAGACTTCTTTTTTTTTTTAAACTGCGTGACATGCGTTTATGTCGCGTGTTTGTTGTTGTTGTTTCCCCTGATTCCTCTGACGCGCCGTTCGACTCTGAGCACGACGACGAGATACTCAATTAGTGTGCCACCTCGCTGGTTGTTCCGCTCGGTACGAAACACGGACCACCCGGTGAATACAATAATAATAATAATAATCGTCGTCTTATCATCGAAATGTACGCACGGTGGAAAAAAAAGAAGACGCAAGTTTTCAGTCTTGGCGAGTGAAAGAACGTCTTGCGGAGCCGAGTGTGTGTATGTGTGTGTAGCGATCGTTATCATCATCATTATCATCATTTCTCCGTTGACCTTCGTCGGCACCAATCGAGCTATTATTCGCAGTGTGTCTATGTGTCTTTCTCTCTTTCTCTCTGCGCGTATATCTCTGTATGTTTATGTGTCTGTGTGTGTGCCCGTGTAATATGTTTTACGAGGGTGTGTGTTCTTCTCTTCTTTCTTTTTTTTTGTTTTCAATAAAATGACGACGCAAGCGACGTTAACGCGCTACTAGACATTATAGATTACACATTTTTCAACTAGAAAACTTCGCTTTCTTTTTTTTTCCTTTTAGCAGTTATTATTTAAAGAGGTTACGGGCCAGTTTCCTATAATATATATACATTGAATTCAAACTTGGCAATATTGGTGGCAATCAAGCGTTCGCAACGCCACTGTGTGTAGTCCATAGGCTAAGTCCGATACAAGGGAAATCATCATCGTTTGAAATCTTCATTTAATAATATATTTAAGCGAACAAAGCTTAAAAACCACTCCGTATCGCCATTGCATTGAGTTCAATTTACAATGGGGGTAGTTTTTTGGGGGGCGGGCGAGGGTTCGGGGGAGCGCCTGTTGCGGCAATTGGGTTTAGGGGAGTGTTTCGGGGATGGGACATCCTCCTCAGAAGATCATCATCATCCTTTTCTTTCGTTCTGTTCTCATATCTTGCCACCGTAAGGCTAGCTCTCTCTCTCTCTTTCTTTCTCTCTCTCTCTCTCTCTCTCTCTAAACGTGAATTCTTTCTCTTAGTTTTGTAACGGTTTTTTTTTCTTTTTTTTTAAAAAATAAAGTAGCTTAAGCCATATTCGATTGGCTGGGGTCTGTATTCTGTGTAGTGGATGGTGTGTTGGTGTTGACGTTATTATCACTAGAGTTACCGCTAGCCCCCGCGGCAGCACTCGTGGCTTCCAATTGGCCTCCAGGATTGTCCGAAGACTGCATGTACTTCGGTATTAGGATCGAATTCAAAGCCGGCTGAATTCGCAGTTCTTGCTCGGTGAAGTCGAACAACGGCGGCAGCTCCCGGCCGTTCGGTAATCGTGTGCCCTGTTCCCGCAGCTCGTTGAAGAACGAATGGGCGCACGCCTGCAGTGGCGTCATCCGTAACGATGGCGTGTATTCGAGGAGCCGGGCGACGAGTTCCATCGCTTCCGGGGGCGTGCGTGCCCTGAACACCTGAAAATTAGTAGAGTCTTAGCGTCAACGTCTCCCCCCCCAAAGAAAATGGGACACGGTCGTCCACGCAGCGAAAATAGTAGGGTGTCCCAAAAATGTCTCGCAATCCGAAAGTGGCAGGTTCCTCGGGTCGTTTGAAGCAACTTTGTCCTTTACAATAATTTCCGGATTGCGAGACATTTTTGGGACACCCTGTAGAGAAACTAGAGCATAGCGCAACGCATGACCGTCGCGGAGTCATGTGCAAAAGCGATCAAACGGCAGCGACACTTTCTGAGAGAAGTCTGCTCGAAGTTCATTCAATTAGATATTATGCTGGCTCGTTGAGGATGTTCTCTCTGATCTGTCCTTGCTACTATCGATTAAAGTCATTTGCGTAGAAAGATTACATATACAAAGAGTCTTCCTACTTCGACAATAGTAGTCAGAGAAATTCAATTCTCTTTTGCACGTTCTTTCATTTTCATTTTTGACAATTATAATATGAAGAGAAATTCACGAAATGGTTAATAATACTGTGCAAGATTTCAAAACCACCGCCTTCTCTCCTATACTCGCTTATACGTATAGTTAGTAAGTGTTCTATTCTCATCTAAACTAGTGCCAGCCAAGATTTAGTTTTTTTCTTTGGAAATAAAAATCCAGGATTCTAAACAGTGCCGGCGTTTGGCCTAAATTATCTATTTAGGTTGTTCATATCAAGCTACAATAACGACTGATTATAGTGGGTTTTTCTTGCGACGTTTGAAATTAACCGTTCCTCTAAAAACAATTCTCAAAAGTCACATCATTTTTCTATCGTCAAAATAGAGAGACCCTTTAAGAGAGTATTCTCGTTACTCTTTTGTTACTTGTTGCATTATCTTAATAAGTTTGATAATATAAAGTTTAATCTTGATAAGTTTAGCATAGAAAAGCGCTTCAGGGAATGAATGAGTTTCTTACTGAAAGATACGAGACAATCCCCTTAATGAATAAATAAAAAAAAACGGTCGTTAAACATACTCAACAACCAGAGTTATATTAGTAACATGAGATGTTTAATTCTAAGATATTATTACGATGTAAAGTTTAATGGCATAAATCTGGCAATAAGCCATTCATCTGTATGGCACTGTTTTCTATTCGAATGTGATAGAGTTCTTATAATCAAATCGTTCGCATTTTTGACGATCGACAATGAAAGAAAAAAAAAAAGAAAAAAAAGAGAAACCATTTAACCACGATGATCAGACTTGCGCGATGAACACACGGACATGTAAACACGCCGGAGATCAAGAAACCGGAGAAGATAATCGCGTGGATCACGCACAAACGTACACAGCAATCGTTCGTCACTCTTGAAACAACGGATCAACATTGAATTTATTGTATGGGCTCGTTTAAGGACACTGGAAAATACAGACATCGATTACCACCAGAAACATTAGAGTAAGTGATACACGTTGAAGGGCACAACATATATTGTTTCGGAGATAGTTGAACGATTAGTGAGGTTAGGGCGAGAAATGGTGTATGTGTGTATGTGGGTGTGTGTTGTGTGATGCGATGATGCATGGTGAGACACAAAGTGAGATAAAGAGAGAAAAAAAAACCAATATAGATAGAAAGAAAACTGGATACTACATGATTTGGCAAAGGTGCACGCCGAATGTTTTATGCGTATGATGCAAAAAGATCGAATGAAGGTCTCTTTATTTTGGTTGGTCATCCTCCGTTCGACGGATCAATTAGCGGTAATTGCACATATCCTATGTAACCGTTCAGATGCTGAAAAGTTGGTTACGTATTGGTTAGTACATTGGGCCAAGAGAGTAAAAAAAAAAAGAAAGAAAAAAGAAAAAATGAAGGAATAATTCGCCAGCCATATATAAATATATTTTATATATATATGTATATATAAAATATAAGAAACATCGTGTGTTCAACAGGGACCACTTACTCTAATCTTTTGGTGCTCCGTGGAACACTTTAGTCCACTCATTCGCTGAAGCATAAACTGTAACCACGAGTACATGTATTGATGAAATGTGATTATAACGACAGGTGTAGCAAAACCGTGTTCAGTTAGAAGGAACGAGAGACTGCACGCAGTCATTACCATCTCAAACAACTTCTCTTCTCATGCAATCATGGTTACTATACTTTATTATTTGAGAAAAGAGGCCCAAGGTAGATCCATTGATCACAATCACAATTAATCTCGCTCTATCCACCTAAACGTTACGAGCCTGAAGTAATTGCGATCAATGCTACACTTCGGTTCTCTTTCTTTCAAAGAACAAACTATAGTCAACTGTATCGCGCCAGAGATTTACGTTAAGCTTTAAGAGTAGTGACGTAGAATTTCAAATGTTCGACTATCAAAGTTGCACCAAATATTTCACATTAGAATAGTATCCTTACGAAGAAGCCTGTCGCATGTTGCTAAGATAACTTTTGTATCGTACATAACCTTGCTATACTAAAAAAGACTTTTAAAGCAACGACTCCATGTTTTTGTATTTTGCATGAACTTGCCGCTAAGGAAATAATACTTCTAGGGCCATTCGAGTGACATTGCACGTAACTGATTCGAGAAGTGCAGATACATGAAAAACGTTTTCGGACAGCCAGACACGTCACATGGTGACACCACACAGTGGCTATATTATTATTATTGTTATTATTATTATCACTATTTCTAGTTAACAAATACTCTGTACTTTGTCTACGGTGAAACGAAGTTAGGATAATAGGCTACCTTTTGCCAAGGATGCGACTTAATCTGTGGGAATTTGAATTCGGTATAGTTGGGGTTCATCTCACGTATCTGATCGCGGGTCGGTGTGCCCAGAACCTTGATAATCTCAACCAGCTGATCTACGCCACTGTCGCCAGGGAATATCGGCTGACCGAGCAACAATTCTGCTAGTACACAGCCAGCGCTCCACACGTCTATAAGAAACAGGATGTCCTTCATTATATAATGTAAGTTTGGCCGTTCCATACGTTTGTAAACGTACCAATTTTGGTAGTGTAGTCAATAGCACCAAAGATCAGTTCGGGCGCGCGATAGTAGCGACTGCATATGTAAGAGACATTCGGTTCACCCTTGACCAGGTGCTTGGCTGAACCGAAGTCGCAGAGCTTCAGTACGCCTGTCTCCGGGTCCAGCAGCAAGTTCTGCGGCTTGATGTCCCTGTGGCAGATCCCCAGGGAATGTATGTACGCCAGGGAACGGAACAACTGATACATGTACAGCTGCAACATTCGAGAAACAGTTTTACTTTACCGGTGCATCGTCAAACATCACTTTGGAATCAGTTATCCGTTCAAGGCTTATCCTTCATTGCTATCGGTACGAGAACAAATATTTCTATTGCTGTTATAGATATCAGATGGACATTAGGCACTTGTTTTATATATCGAAAGCTATAAACTATTAGTTACGCTGGTCAAATGTACTCATATTATGACATCAATTTCTCTGTAGAAGTGAGATGAGCATCGTGCAAAACACATTGGTCAAGAATCTGGATTTTGGAGTGGTACATTTCGGATAGAAATTATGGTTGCCTTGGACGGTCAGCTGATTCTTTGGAAGCGGTTTTTTGTGCGAACATATTTCTACTTACCTTGATGAAACTGATCGGTATCGTCAGCTTGCTTTTGCTATAATGTCGAGCGACTTTGTACACAGTTTCGGGTATGTATTCCAGGACTAGATTCAGATAAACTTCGTCCTTCTAAAATTTAACGAATGAATTATTATTTAACAGTTCATCAAACGATACCCGCAAGGTGTGTCGCCTCAAAGGCACGTGGGTCCTGTATTAGCAATTTTAACTTCTCTAGCAGGGTCCGTTCTGGTAATCGATTACTATCAATTCCCATCGGACGGTTTACGCGCGCAGTACCTTTGAATTGCAAACACACTGTTCCGGAAGATTGTCTGTCTATGACTAGCCAAGCTGCGTTCACTACTAGACTGAGATTTATCGAGAGAGCTGTCATCCGTCACGGTGTCTTAGACGCAATTGTTGTTTCTATACAATATATATACATATATATGTATATTATATATACAAATATACATATAAATAAATATATACAATAATATATATAAATATAAATAAATATATATAAATACAAATAAATATATATAGATATAAATAAATATATATAGATATAAATAAGTATATATAAATACAAATAAATATATATAAATATAAATAAATATATATAATATACATAAATATATGTACATATATATTTGTTTCTCTCGTGAATCACTACTAGTTCGCAAAGCAAATCTGCCTAAGTGTTTCTCAAAAGGACTTTCTCAAACTACTGGGTACGCTTTTCACTTACGTCCACATGAAAAACTGGATTAGTTGCGTTTAAGATGTTCTACAAAATAACACAACAATGCCGCATGCATTAAACTAATACGTATTACACGGATAATTCAGAGCTTATAGAATTCATTGTAAAAAGAGAACTGACTGTTTTTCTTTCTTTTTTCTTTTTTTTTCTTTTTTTTCGTTTTCGCGTTACTTTCACCTACGAGGTAGACGAAAAAAAATATAAAGGAAACGTTTTCTTTTTTTTTTTGCGTAACATCGTCTGTAGTAAGAGAACGCACGTGGCGCATCGTAGGGTGCATCGTAATTATTGGACCGCGCGTTTGCGAATCGGTGAAAAAAAATATGAAAATAAATAGGGTTCGGTGTTCGACCGATATTTCGAGCGACGTAATATCGGTCGCGCCGCGTGTTTTCAAGATCGCGAATCTGCATTGGCGCGCGCGCGCACGGAATACAAATGAAAGGAAAGCGAGAACCTCCTACTACTCTTTCTTTGCCAGCGAATTACGAGACACCCTTCCGTAACTCTAAGAATAAATTAATAATAAGAGACCGCATTCTCGATGGCTCGGTAAACTTTCAGTCGTTTTGTTCAGTCGAGTAGATAAAATTGCATAGTTACCTTATCACCACTAGAGTAGAAGAAATATTTTAGTTTCACGATGTTGCAGTGCTCGAGACGCCGCATGATTTGCAATTCTCTGTTCTGTGGAATAACAGGAAAACGCGATTAGTATTTGTTGTTCCAATCTTCCTCTCTCAATCTCCTTCTCGCTCTCTCACTCGCACACTTGCACTCTCTCTCTCTCTCTCTCTCTTTCGCTCTCTCCCTCTCTCCCTCGCTCTCCAGTTCTCTCTCGCTCTCTCTCTCTCGCTCTATCATTTCCTCACTCTCTCTCTAGTTCTCCCTCTCTCTCTCTCTCTCTCTCTCTCTCTGGCTGTCACTCTCTCTTACTCGCTTTTTTACTCTCTCTCGCTCTCTATCACTCGTTTTTTCATTCTCTCTCGCACTCTCTTTCGCTCTCTCTCTCTCTCTCTCTCTCTCTCTCTCTCTCTCTCTCTCTCTCCAGCAAATGTTTACTTCATCCATTTACTTTGCTTCCGTTTTATTTCTGGAATTCGTGTCGGTGCACTCGAGTTTACATTATTATTGTGTACAAAGATTCGATACGGGAATTAGAATCTCGCGATTATCGTTCTGCAAACAGATCGATCCCGCCAGATAAGCATCGAGCTGGTAATACCGCGCGAAACACACGTTTATTGGATCGCGAGCCAGGCACAATTCGTTCAACTCTATTAACGTGATCGACAAGAATAACGCAAATCTCCGATCAAGATAATCTTTTCATCATTCCTTTTTTTCATTAAATCTATACTTTATTAAAACATTATAATGTTATTGCTTCTAAATTTAAATTTATTATCTGCCGTAGCAATGATTGCAATCAATTGTTAGCTTTCCCTAAGTCGCGCCGATAAGCGCTATTTCTTATCGCCGAAGATTTTTATAACGAGACGGGTGCGACGGTAAATTGCAAAAATAAATATACGACGGTTTCGTGTGTTACCTTAAATCGCTTGTCCTGGAGAACCTTCTTGATGGCAACCATTTCTCCCGTATCACAGAGTTTCGCTTGGAAGACAACGCCGAAGCTGCCATTACCGATTACTTTTGTGTCTGTGTAGGCGACCTCTTGGGGGCGGTCTGGACCAGCACCGGGGGTAGCCACCACGGTCGTCACTTTGCTGCCATCCTTGCCTGCATTGTACATCGCACCACCCATAGAAACAATAGAAAAGCACAACGCTACAGTACAGCGAAAGAAACAAGTTCGGGCTGGTAAAAAGCTTTGATCAAGCGGTTACTTTATAGATAGGGTGTACCAAAATTACAGCGATTTCGAGAAGCGAGGAGTACTCCTCAGGTCATTTGAAGCAACTTTTACCTTTACGAAAATGTTCTCCGACGCACCGTTTACGAGTTATCGACGAAAAACGCTGACCAACGAGAGAGCGAGCGCGACTGGCGCGAGGCGGTGCGTCGTGGCGGAGCCAATGAGCGTCTCCGGCCGGCGCGGCGCGGAGGGCGGAGCGCTGGCCGCACTCGCTCTCTCGTTGGTCATTGTTTTTCCTCGATAACTCGCGAACGGTGCCTCGGAGAAAATTTCCGTAAAGGAGAAAGTTGCTTCAAATCACCTCAGGAACCCCTCATTTCACGGAAGCAATGTTTGGGACACCCCGAAGATAGAAATATAGGTACAGTGACAGAGAAAGAACTTAGAAAGTAATCTTCAGCTAACTACGGATTTTCTACATTCTAATTATACTTTATTAGCTCGCCTGCCCTGCCCCTCTTTCTCCGTGCCCGCAGCACCGCGCTGGGAGCTCGTTGAAAATAATCATTTCGTTTATCCTTGCAGATTGATGCGAACAGACCAGAGAACCTCGTCGTACAAACTAAGCTTTTCTGTATCAACTAGACAACAGCAATTCTTGGATCCGTTTTGACCCAATTTCTCGGAGGTTTCGCCCGGCTTCTTCAGTTTTAACCGATCGGGTGTCGAGTTAATGTTATGAATACGTGCCAAAATACTGCCGAGGAAAATTATTAGGCAACGTTAGGCGTTACAAATTTTATATTCTTCGGAGACAAAATAATTTATTAACTTCTTGCCGCGACGACAGCTTCATGTCATCTCGAACGTTTCGACTCGCAGCACTCGAACGGTTTTAATGATTGGGATTCCAGAGGCGTGCGCGAGTAACGCAAATTGATATTCTGGTCAATAAATTGTTGCATGTTTCATTAAATTCATCTAAAAGTTTTGAACCGTACTTTTTGAACAACCTAATAGTATATCGTACTCTTAGATTATTTAGAAAAATTGGGTACTCATAAATTATCTAGAAAAATTGTGTATTCCTAGATTATCTAGAAAAATTGTGTATTTCTAAATTATCTAGAAAAATTGTGTATTCCCAGATTATCTAGAAAAATTGGGTATTCCTAGATTATCTAGAAAAATTGTGTATTCCCAGAATATCTAGAAAAATTGAGTATTCCTAGATTATCTAGAAAAATTGTGTATTCCTAGATTATCTAGAAAAATTGTGTATTTCTAGATTATCTAGAAAAACTGATAAATAGACTGTGAATCTGATGCATTTATGACAAAAGGGGGTGCAATTTAAAGCGCTGATGAAATTAAAGCGACTGAAGAGTGCTAATACACTAGTTTCAACTACCGGAAGCCTATTAACGGCTCGCTTCATGATCTACTTTCAGGAAAAGGCGCGTGTGTAGATAATTTAATTATGGGGCAGCTTCTTTCGCGGGGAGTTGTCACAGAATAAAACTGAAATATTCGCGTTGCTATTCAATATACTTATATAAATGCGCACGGTATCTCATTTCTAACAGAGCAGATTAATAATTAATAATGCTAAATGATGATTAACGATGCTAATTAATAATAAAATAATTAGTATAATAAATTAATTATACTAATATTAAATAAAAATTGTGAAACATCTCCCTCGAGTTACAACGAACTCCAAAATTAAAAAAAAAATGTCTCGGCGGTGGTGAAACATTTTCCAAACAACAAAGAACCGGAGTCTTTAATTAAACTTCTAATTTGAGGAGCTCGACAGTTCTCGCTAGAAAAGAAGATTTTATGTCAAAAAGTAAAAACATTCGTCCCCGAAATTTCTTGCGTTTTCTTTGTCAGATCGGGTCAACTTCTGCGACCACCCTCGCAATAGGGGATATGATTCATAGGCGCGGACTCGCGCGCCGCTGATGAATCCTCTCGTAAAATTAATCGAAGCGCTCATTACGCAACTAACTTTCACGATCAATTTTAGGATCAATTTTACCGCCTGGAGAGCGGAGAGGTGGGGGGGGGCATTCGAATCCGCAGCGGGCACGTGCCCCGGAGGGGGAAGGGGGGAGACGGCTTAGAGGAACTCCATTGTGTCTCCGTCTGCGAAAACCGAAAATAACTTCTGCCCGATCTAGCAACCCGTTCGCCGAGCGCCGCGTGTATCGGCATGTACCAGGTTGCACGGACGTGTTCTTAGACGCGTGTAATTCTATTGCCAGCCGCTTGAACGCAGCTCTGCGACAGGGATAACCTTGATAAGATGCGACCACGGATAATGCGAGGTGGCGCGTTCGCGGACCGGTTTTCTCATTGAACCGTCGCTGAAAATAACCGAGCGCGCGCGCGCGCACGCGAGCAGTATCTTTCGCGCCTTCTCTAATAATCTGTCGCGGAGATCCGCGACGCGGGATCGGGACACCGAAAATTTTCGTAGACCCCCCCGCCCCTCCGACGGGTCTCGAAGCCAACGGCGGAAAATTTAAAACGCTCCACACTAACTTTTATCGCGAAAGCTAATATTTCCAGCTCGCGCTGTTCGCGGAAATCGGTCCGATTTCATTGAGAACGCTCGCGAAAGGGCGCGCCGCCGGGTGCTCGACTTACGAGAGGGTGAATTTCCCGTCGAAGCGGTCGTTCTCGCGAAATGTCATCGGGGTATCGTTTATGCGAGCCCGAGCGCCGAGTAGCAAAAGGTCGAGATCCTCCGATGCGCGCGTAACACGGCGAAAGGGTGGCGCGGTGGGTGTGTGTGTGTGTGGGGGGGGGGGGGGGGGGGANGGGGGGGGGGGGGGGGGGGGGCAAAACGCATATCCGGATCCTTGGTTTGCTGCGCTTTTTGTTGCACGCTGGATTTAGCCGGCTCGGGTCCGAGCGACGCTTTTGCCAGAGATCGCCGCCGTTTGACCCAGTTTTCGGCCTCTCTGCGCCCCTAAGGACCTCCTCTTCTGCGGCCCGAACGCCGGCAGAAAATGTTTCACAGGGCTCCTACAGTTTCCCGTTTAATCGCCTGGACGCCGATAATAATAATAATAATTTTTTTCCGGTCGCCAAAAAATGTCCAGAATGTTTCCGGATAATTTTAACAAATAAACAGCGTCACATTAACTTTCCGGTGGGCGGCGCGCCCTCTCTCGTGTGCTCTCTACGTGTGTGTCCATCCATCGGTTTTCCACGAAGGACATTTATTAATAGCTTGTGGTGGTTCCCGGTGTCTCGTATAATAAATACATATTTGCATGCGCGCTTTGGTTCACCTTTAATCGTCACGATGCGTGCGCACGCGCGCGTTTTTGTTGTATTTTGTTGCGCCGCGGATGGTAGTTTCAAATGATTCGAACACCTTTTGCAGCGAGAACGAGGCGGCGGTTTAAGTAACGCGACGTCGCCGCCTGCTATTTTCTTCTCCTTGTGCTCAAAGCGATATAAAAATACGGTGCTTCTGCGAGCGATCTTTTTGCTCCGGTGCTCCTCGCACCTTTGCGATAATCTTACGTGCTTGTACTCTTTCGAGAAACATTCGAATTTATAAATAAAAATAATTGAAAGATAATGATTATATATTGTTTCAGTATATGCGCGATATGTCCCGTGGTATTTCCTGGAAACGAGGGGTTCCTTAGGCGATTTGTAGCAACTTTTTCCTTTGCAAGAATTTTCTACGAGGCTTCGTTTACGAGTTATTAAACGAAATCTGCCGACCAATGAGAGGCGAGCTCGCGTGGCGCTTGGGCGGCCGGCCAATCAGCGGAACCGGGGCGTCGGGCGCTCCGCGAAGCGGACGCGGCTGCCGCGCGCCGGCCACACTCGCTCTCTCATTGGTCCTTGGTTCGTTCACGATGCCTCGGAGAAAATCTTTGTAAAAGAACCATAATAGTGCCGTAATTTTTGGACACCCCGTATATACGTTTTATGAAAAATACGTAAATTAGAATAAAATGTTCTAATAAGATCGAAATTGGATTTAGATTTCGTTTTTATGCTCTCGTCTTAATTTGCTCGAATTCTATTATAAGCGTAGATACATCCATGCGTGTATGTTGCAACGAGTGTGTACAATCCCCTCCAAAAGTATCAGGGCACTTGCAGACAATTAAATAAATTTGAATAACCGATAGGAAATTCTTAGATTATATTTATAATAATAATTATTATTATTATATTAAATTTATGAAATTGTAAACAGTAGATTATATTTATTATTATTATATTTAACAGTATAATCAAAATAACATCAATTATATTTGTTATTATATATAATAATAATTATATATAGTTATTATTATATGTAATTGTTAATATATGTAACTATATATTATACATAATACAACATAATATAATTACGATATATAAATATAGCAGAAAATTGGCCGATCAAGTTTCCAAATCGGCAGACGCTTTCTCCAAACGGCCGAATCGATACCGCGTTCGGATAACAGCGATCCCGCAGTGGTTACGGGATCACTCGAGACGGCCGAGAGCAAGTCAGCGAGCGACGCCTATGGAGCCGATTTACGTCGGCGTCGCAGCACGGCCGTGGGAGAAAATGAATTCCGCCATCGGCTTCGGTCCCGATACGCGCGCGCGGGCCGGTTTAACGTCCTCCCGAGGAGGTTCTCTCGTCGCCCTGGCAGCCGTATAATATTTAAATGACATTAAAAGGAATACTTTCGCAACACGGCCGTGTTCTAACCGCGTCCGAGAAACCAGGCCTATACATAGCCCGATTGCGCGCAAACGGAATACCATCGAGCTACTTCTGCCGGTCGCGTAAATATTTGAACAGTTTGCTGGGGGACGCCGCTGCCGCCGCCGGCGCAATCTTCGCGGAAACTTCCGACTCCAGGCGACGCCGCCAGACGGCGATACACTTTCGGGAACCGACCGACCACCGCCGAAGCACCGGCGGCGATCCTAGCGCGCGCGAAAGAGGACTCGCGGTATCGGTAATCGAGGCTCAAACGTTTCACTCCCTCGAGCGTGTTTCATTGCGGAGCATATTCATCGATCGTTCACGTTTTTTTCAAGGCCGCCGCTTTTTTAGAACCGGCGCCAGTCATTTTCTGCTTTGCTCGGCTCGAGCGGGATGCTTGGCCAAGGAGCCAGAAAAAACTGTTGTCGGCCGCGAGAGCAAAATGTCGCTGGAATTAAATGCAGAAGTACAAACTCTAGCTGCTTTGTACAGCTGCCCGCACAGCGGCCTAGCATTGTCCTGCTGGAAAATGACACTTTCACGATTGACCAATTCTGGTCGCTTTTCCTTGACCGCTGCATTCAATTTGTCCGTTTGTTAACATTCACGGATAATAAAAAATAACATAATAATAATAATAATAATTTTATAATATAACATTTACGGATATCATAAAAATGTGAGCGAGAGACATCTATAACTGAAATCGGCAATTACTTAGTTGCCAACCCAATAGTTATCTTGTTTCAAAAGGTGTATTTTATGGATCACCGTCAATGTTATGTTTCTTTTCTCAAGGAGCGCCCCGACAATGTCACAACACACCGACGGAACGAGGAGTCTCCCCGGCACAGAAGAAGCTTTGTTTACGTGCCGGTCATTGCTTCTTCAAATTTTTAGCACGTTTAAACCGCGGTTAGAGCATCCCGGGACGAGAGGAATTAATTAACACCTGTCGCGGGACAATAACGATAAAAGTCATCAACGAGGTGAATCAGCGGTTCTTTTATTGACCAAGGATGTTAGGAGCTGGCATATGGCTTTTATCTTTTATCTGTATGATTTTCATAAGCGCTTCGCTTTTATAAGTTTCGCTTTTTCTTTTTTTTCTTTCTTTTTTAGTAATCCTGTTACCCTTTCTAATACTCTGAAAATTATTAAAAATATCTTCTGATAATATTGAAATATTTTCTGATAATATTGAAACATTTTCTGATAATATTGAAATATTTTCTGATAATTTTCTGAAAATTGTTTACGGAAAAGGTCAAAGCGAGTTCATGGGAGCAATCGACGCCTCTCTCTCTCTCTCTCTCGACGATGTCTTCTCGTTCTCTCTTTTTTCTCTTTTTTTTCTTCTTTTTTGCTCGACGTTGAACACAAAGTAGACGTAGCGCTTGACGTATGAGAAAAATAAATTCGCGTGGGTCGGCGCAGCACAACAAAAATAAATATGAATAACAACGGATAAATGTCACCGGGTCGTGTAGATTACTTCCCGCTGAATAAGTCCTTTCTTGCCGATACCACTTCTGTTTCTAACCTTTTCTACCTGAAAATGGCAGCGCGCAGCAGCACGGCTCTGTCGTGTGCGCGCGCGAACAAGCCAGGACGTCCGGTCAACATTTAAAAATATACGTTAGAATAATCCCGCGCTTTGCAGATCCGACGATCTATCGCCTCGAATCGGATCAATAATTCGTGCTTCGCGGTTCGAACGTTGGAATAATTAACACTGTGCCGTCCGCGGATCTTAGATATGATTCTTTTGTTTGACGCCCGGTATAATAGCTTGGAAATTTTAGATTTTTAAAAGAAATTTTAAAGATGGCGGTAATATGAATTCCTAAAATTAAGATATGTCATCCAAGAGTTTTAGTACTTAATTCTTAGTTAAATAAGCACAATGCTATAGTTAGTTTGCTGCCTTTTAACACCCAATAAATATATTCCTCAGATCATTTGAAGCAACTTTTTCCTTAGCGAAAATGCGATCCGCGGCTTCGTTTACGAGTTATTAACGAAAAACAGTGACCAATCAGAGGCGAGATCGTTTGGCGCGAGACGGCCGAGCCAATGAGCGGTATTAAGTTATATAGTTATATTATAAAATTATATAGTTATTTTATATGTATATTATTATGTATTATATATATATTATATACATACATATATACATATAAATGCAGTTATATAAAGTGAAAATGCTATAGGACAGAGAAACTATTTTAGATTTCGAGTTGAAGTTGCTTCGTGTACAAAGGGCTAACCCTTCGAGCATCGACTCGACTAAGATCATAACCTAGAAGAGGATATCCCCTTTTCAAGTTCCTTTCGTCTGTACAAATTACAGAAAAAATTACGATAGATCGCATTGTTCGTCGATACAAAGTAAACAATGCAGTTCTCGAACCGACGAAAAACACTTAAAAATGTTAATCGATACAAATTGTTTCGACAGCTGGTTCGTAAAAAAAGAAAAAAAGAAAAAGAGAAAAGTAGAATTGAAATGCCACTTCGTAAAATAGATGCAGCAAGGCGAACCAATTAACCGCTAACCGTCTCAACTTAAACACGCTTTAAGACCTTGGCTTCTTCAATTCAATTGTCAATCGTGACACAACACGAAACTTCGCTCTGTAAACGATCGAAGCGACGAAAGAAAGACTGGTTAATGCGTGTGTTGACATTGTGTAGAAACGTATAAAACGTCGTCGACGACGACGACGACAACACACTCGAGGTGGTTGTCTCGAACGAAACGGGCGCGCGCGCGCGCATATAGTAACGCACACACAGAGAGTAAGTACGTACGCGTACTATAATTTCGAACGAAAATAAAAGTGGGACGCGACGGTGCATCGTTCCGCATGAATTCTTACGCTTTTCTCTCTCTCTCTTAATTACTGCTTTTACGTTTGTCGTAGACCGAACGCGGCGCGGGAATGCGTCATCGCTATTAATATGCTGCAAATTCATGCGATCCGCGGAACCAATACATAGTCCCTATATTACCGTTTCGCTATTTATTTTCGGTTACGTTCCGTTTCCGCGAGCCAGTCGGTGTTGTCGCGAGAAAACGCGGCCTCCTTCCCCTCTCGAAAAAAAAGAAAACCCATCGAAACTTACACTTCCGGTTTCCTAGCCTCCGCAAGAACTTGCAAAACTTTTTGTACACAGTGTTCGCCTCTTTGCTGCTCAACTCCATCGCGCTGTTCACCCGCTGTTCATTCTTCTGCTGACCCGGCGGACAAAGTTTCGGGTAACGCCACTGCTGGCACGGTTCGGACCAGTCCAGAGCGGTGGCGGGCGCCATGACGGTTATTCGGCTCCAGGAACTCGGGAAACGCGGCTACCGACGCGGCTCATCGACGGCGATTCAGCGCCGCGGCGCACCACGTTTCTCGCCGCCGAGAGAGTTCGATCAACGGCGGTCCTTTAACGCACCGCCGTAGCGAACGATACACCCGGAAAGCGATCGCCGAGTTTCTGGAATTCTTTCCGAGCTTCTAGTTCTTCGAAGAAAACGGATCGCCGGGCCCACAGCTCGGAGACGCCGTTCACACAGGGGGGCCCCGCAAGGCCCAATGCGACTATCGAGAACGGATTACGTGCCGGTGTGGAGAATCGGGGCCGTAAAGGGTGCCATTGTTCGTCCCCCGGCGCGAGAGAGATACCGAGAGCGCCGGCGATAGAGCACGGCCTCCAGGCCTAACCTCTTCGAAGCCGCGGGGGGGACAGGAACGAGAGCAAAATCAATGTTTATCCTTCGAAGCCGTGCAGCCTCGAATTCGTCGCGCCGAGCGAAGGCAGCTTTTCTCGCACTCTCGATGTTTCACTGTCCCCGATCGGTTTGCACCAAATCCACGGGATTCGAAGCGCGGAATTCCGATGGTCAACGATACGACGATCCCGCGGATTAAACTGTGTGTTTGCCGCGACGCTTTATACGCTCTGAAGTCACGCGACACCGAGCCAGCGGAGACCCCGATTGTCGCCGGCGTTTGCTTCTGCCCGTTGTGTGAACGCGCCGCGATCGCTGCTCTCCACGCAGCTCTCTCTCTCTCTACGTGCACGGAGACGTTCTCGTTCCGCGGCGGCTCGGCACGCGACTAAACCGAACGCGCCGCCAATCGCCATTGCTCGCGGGAGAAGCAGCTTCCGAGTGGGAGGGGGGCGGGCGGCCGGCCGGCCGCCGCGGGAGGGGGCAACGTGTCGCGGATGTTAGCCGCGAAAGCGAACGTCGCGATATTTTCAGTCTCCTTTCGTTCCGTCACTTTGAGTCCTTCTCTTTTTTTTCCGAGTCCTTGCGCGATCTGTTGCGACGAAGACAGAGAACACGCGAACGCGAGATACGTCGAGTTTCGATTATGCAGAGTATTTTTGTGGTATTATTAGCTGTGTGGACGCGGATTCGACGCGAAAAAGTTGCGTTCGTCGATAGGTTAAGCGACATTGAACTTGGAACGTAACTTTCATGGAATCGTTCTTAAACCCATCTGGAATTACGGTGTTCGACTGTGCGGCGCTGCTGGTCTTTCGAGAGACGAATTTTTATGAATATTCTGCGAACTGGTTCGTTTTTAATAAATCGGCTCGTTCGCGCTTGGAAGTAAGCTGATATTATATGTTATATCATATATATCTTTTATATACATATTGTTATATATATATTAGTAAGTAAAGTAGAAATTACTGATAACAGTAAATAATTATTATTCAGAATGTACTTTCGTCAGGGTTCAATAACAATTCCCTCGGTGCAATTGATCTTTCGGTGGCTTCAATCTAACCTCAAACGTAAACGTCTCGCATACCGAGCATGACGTTCAACCGTAATCGCGAGAGCGAAACTGTTACATACATTTTATTGTGCCGACGCGTATGTTACATCCGCGGTTATCGAAGTGTCCGCGGAATCATCTACAACAACAGAACTCGCGCATTTTATCGGTTAAGAAATAACATTCAAGTGATCGTCGACGCTTATACAGAATTCCGTTTTCGTGCAATATCGAATTTCTCCGCAAAGTGAAAAGAAGAAGAACGCGCGGAAAATTTGTGTAACCTAAAAAAAAAACGCACCTGTTGCAACATCGAAATTGAAGTACGCCGCGAAGTGCGTCGGATTCGTTCGACGGTGATTCGCGCACGCTCGCGCGGCGATTCCGTTAATTAACGGGCGTCGTTCGACGGTCGACTGTGATCGAGCAAGCGAACGGCGAAAGATTCTCGCCGCCGGTAGGAAGGAAAGAAGAAACCGGACGCATTTCATTTGCACGCGGCAACAAACTCTCTCTCTCTCTCGCTTCGCGCGAGACCGCGCGACGCGCGAGGATTATTCGCGATAATGTCTATTTATAGTAGACTCGAAGTCGTCAATGACGGACATTACGTCGAATTAAGTAGAATGTGGTGCCAGTTCTGTAAAGAATTTCGCGGTGATCGCGCGCGCGCGCTGTTGTTCGCGCGAAAATAGTGATTCGCTTGGAACTGTCGTCCGTTGTTCGGCGAGCTGGCGCAATAAAAAAATAGGAGCGTCGACCTACACCCTACTGGTTGCAGAAGCGTGATTAACCGAACCGGACGGCGGACCTTCGTGACGAAAATATTGCTGGGTATGTTTTGAATCATTTTATCAATTTCGTTCATCGATTTTTGACGATTTTTGTTTTCGTCCTTTTTGACGCGATCATTTTTGTGTCGACATAACCTTGACAGTAACGGACAACGATATACCGTTGCTGCAATTTGGAAGAAATTTATCGTCTGAATATTTTTAATAAATATAACTTTCTTTACGAATTTTGCAATTGTTGCTTTTAAGCAAGTTCGATCACTTTTTGTCCACTTATGATAAATATGGGACATTTTCGACCGGCACTGATACAAGAAAAAATATTATAGTATCGCGCCACAACGAGTCATTCCTGATGAAAATTTGATATACAGGGTGTCCCAAAAATGTCTCGCGATCCGTATATAAATTCAATGACATAAATAATATAATAAATTCACGGAGCAGTTCCAATTATGTAAATAAATCCGGAGAACACTTTTGTAGCCTTGACGTGGATATATAAATGTTCAGCAGTAATTTCCCCTTAATTACGTACTTCGCAAGAACAACGATATTTCAGAAGAAGAAAAAAATGTCAACAGATTCGTCCTTGAGTTGTACAGGCGGATATACTTAATGTATTTGCTAACTAATGTACTCTTGCTAAAGTCTCGTACGGAACGAACGGTTTAATGTAACAGTCGAATGAAGTCGGTGACCCAATTAACCAGTTCTTGAAATAATATAATCGATATCGAGTTCGATATCAACGGGCACTACTACACCTTTACAGGTTAGCCGAGATGAAAGGTCGAAAAGAACTAGAAAAAATGATTGAACACGAACGAGTGTTGATCGAGGCAGTTGTGAAAGAAATCCGGTGTTGTGCAAGCTTTTATTCGGACGATAAGAGATAAGGATTAACGTATACGATCTTATTCGGTATCAGCGGATACAAATTACATGTCCAATCGAATAAAATTAATCTAGATAACACAGTTAATCCGAATACGATTTTATTAGAACAATAAATTCATCCGAACTAAGAAGTGTTATTTGTTATTCGAGTGAGAACCTATTTGTGCATCGATTAATGCAGAGAATAATTGATTTGAATAAAAATGATAGAATGTGGCGTTTTTGCTATAGTTTATTGACTAATTCGTCCTGTGCTAATTTTTATATTTAACCTTTCTTTCACTTGATGCGTCGGAAAGTTTGTTACTTTTGGATCGAGTGACCATTCATCCATAACTAAAAAATAATAAATAATAATAAGGAATAATAAATAATAATAAAGGATAATAAATAATAATAAGGAATAATAAATAATGAATAATAAACAATGAATAATAAACAATGAATAATGAACAATGAATAATAAATAATGAATAATGAGCAATGAATAATAAATAATGAACAACGAATAATGAACAATGAACAATGAATAATAAATAATGAACAATAAACAATGAATAATAAAAAAATGCGAAGAATGTCACAATACATTCCAGGATTCATATCAACAGCACACGTAAAAAAAAGATCAACGTTTATTTGATATAAATAAATTAAAATAAATAAATAAAATAAATTAAAATAAATTATTTGATATGAATTATCGGAATAACTTGACTATACGAATAATTGATGAATTTACTCGAAATGAAGAATTGATCGAATCAAACTAGATAGAACAATTAGTTACAAACAAATAATACCTAAAAACAATTATTATATTCGAATAATGATTTTCGTTAAATATTTCTCCGAAACAATTCGTATAATGCCCAACTCCTGAAAGATATAATTACACGACTTGTTGCACCGTCGAGTCCGGGGACTTTATTAACGCCGTTTAATCGGCGCCCGGCGCTGCCAATTTGACCGAGGTCTCCGAACCTCGTCGCACAAAGCCGGCGCGGTACATACAGGGTGTGTCAAAATTATGGTATTTCCGAGAAATGAGAGATTCCTAAGGCGATCCGAAGCAACTTTTTCCTTTACAAAAATCTTCTCCGAGGCATCGTTTACGAGTTATTAAACAAAATCCGCTGACCAATAAGAGGCGAGATCGTTTGGCGCTAGGCGGCCGAGCCAATGAGCGGAACGGAGCTCCGCGGCGCTCGTTAGCTTGGCCGCCGCGCGCCAGCCAAGCTCGCCTCCCATTGGTCACTGTTTTTCGTTAATAACTCGTAAACAAAGCCTCGTAGAACATTTTCGCTAAGGAAAATGTTGCTTCAAATAACCTGAAGCACCATAATTTTGGGACACCTTGTATATCTCGGTCGAAAATGGGAAATAGCGACGATGCGCAGAACAAAATTATAAACAAAATTATAAACAATATTAACCGTAAATTCCGAAATCAGCAGCACCGCGGGTCCGCCATTGCGACCAATTATCCTCGCACCGTGTTTCTCAGCTGTTAAAGATTAGAAACTCGAAACTGGATCAGCTCCCCTCCACCGAAGGGGGGGGGCGCTAACTATTCCCGTCCTTCTAGACTGTCGAACGCAAGAAACAACAACAAAAGAGTGTCTCTCTCGGCGAAGTTGTACTGGAAGAGTTAGGCGACTCTCGTGACCCGTGCTTTTATCAGCGGATCTGATAATTGACGAGCCAAGATCGGCGCAAATAAGATACGAAGGTCTGTGACGTCAAGAGACTCGCCGGCAGCCGCCGAGGAGAACGCGAAAGTAACCAACCGGGCGAGACACACGTTGCTCGGTCGACTCTCAATCGGCCGCACACGGCCACGTCACCCGTTCCCCGTTCGAATTTTTTTCCCGGCGAGCTGGAAAATCGTTCGTGACACGGTCGGTCGATTCACCACTCGGGAACGCCTCGTACCAAGTTCCCATATCGCGGGTTTCCGTGCGATCGCGGCTCGGAACTCGCTCCACCGCCGGCGAACTTTTAATCGCCGGCGCGTCCTCATTGGCCACGGACACGCGAGTCTACCCGAAAAACGGGATCTAGATTTCTAGACGGCTAAGCTGGTTGAGATCGCGGCGATCCGGCGCGAGCGGCTCGGCTGTCGATGCGGCTCGGAAGCCACCGGCAGCCGCGCCGATATCGGGCTGTTTGAATGCCTGGTTAGAGAGCCGTTGCTATATTTAGCCGTAATAAGCAGATAAGAGTCACTGCGGGACACACGGAGTACACGTGAGACGTGTTCGAGCCGTTGCAAGTAACTCGATTTCTTCGGAAAGATATACAGGGTGTTCGAAAATTATTGTGCAGGCGGGATATTATAGGGAAGTTGTTCCTTGGGTCGTTTGAAGCAACTTTTTCCTTAGCGAAAATTTTCTACGAGGCTTCGTTTACGACTTATCAACGAAAAACCGCTGACCAATCGGAGAGCGAACGCGGCCGGCGCTCCGCCCTAAGGCCAGTGACACGTCGCGCCGGCCGGCCGACGCAGCGCCAGTGGCACGAGGGCGGAGCGTCGGCCGCGCGCGATCTCACATTGGTCAGTGTTTTTTGTTAATAACTCGTAAACGAAGCCTCGTAGAAAATTTTCGCTGAGGAAAAAGTTACTTGTACAATCATTTTGGAACAGCCTGTAGATAGAACGCGGATAAAGGTGAGCGTGATTTATTGTCGGTCTTTATCGGTGCAAGCAGCGATTGCCGGTATCTCGACACCGTGCTGTGGAGTATCGGATCTAAACAGCTGACCGAAACACGATTTTTCAGATCTTGCGTAAGATTAAAAAATTGCTTATTTGTCTGCGCTATTCGGATATGTGAACAACTGTGTTAATAAGTGTGTAAATAATATTATATTAATATTATAAATAATATTATATATATTAATAACTGTGCTAAATATTATTATTATATTATTATTTTTTATTTATGTGTTCATGCAGGATTGTTCTGCATTGAAAGTAAAGATTTTTGTGATAGCTTCGTTTTTCTCTTCGCCCGTTTCTGATATATCGCTCGGTTATTTCATTATATAATTAATTAATATAGATATAATTATTATAATAGTATTTTATATATATAATTATATAATATAGATATAATTATTATAATAGTATATTATATATATATAATTAATTAATATTAATTAAATATCATTTAATTTATACGTGTCAAAGATATCGTGTTCATTGTTCCTTTACAGACACTTTTAAGCAATCTTCACATTTTTGTTATTGTTTGTCAAGTTTCAAGATAAAAAAGAAGTGATCTTAAAAGGGTTAAAATGTGAAAAATAAAATAGTCTACCCGTAGGTGGACGCGTAAAGGTCACGTAAAGATCATCGACGTTCTTCTAAATGGATATTTACATTTTTTATCGCGTATTTAATAATAATGTAGCCTTCAAACAAACCAAATAATAATTGTTTTTTAATGTGAGCATGTGACATTTTATAAACGTCACGTGTCCCTAGCACCACTTATCTTAAATTGTGCTCATATCAACATGGTCTATTTATCTTCGACGGTGTATTCTGTCTGAGAAACATTAGCTCGCGTTTCTATCCGGCTAGTTCAACTTCGACGATTTCGTGGCGGCGACCTTGCCAATGTGTCGCGAATGTAAACACAGCGTGACCCATGTAAGTGTAAACAACAAGGTCGAAGAGACACAGTGGCCCACGAAAGTGGTTTTGTACACCTTTTAAAACGCAATAAATTTGTCAACACTGAACCGAATTGACTTGAACTGTATATAATATAATATAAATATATATAATAATATAATATAATATAAATATATATAATAATATAATATAATATAAATATATATAATAATATAATATAATATAAATATATAATAATATATAATATATTATATATTATATAATATAATTTTTAGATGATAGAGGCGACGATGGTTGCCAGACGGCGGCTGAAAAGCTTTTCTTTTTAATTTTGCTGTTACTCCTATTAATAAGTAAGGTTATGTCAACACTCGATCCAATCCTATTAACGAAATTAACCCCTTGACATACCATTTTCGCCGCAGTTACTGCGATTAGAAAATTTTCGATTGCAATCATTTATTAGAAGGAGAAAGAAAATCGATGCTCTACGGAGC